GCACTAGCGAATGGCAGGATCATAACATAACACCTCCTGCACATGACTGCGATGGACTAATGCCAGTACTTGTTGCACATTTGTTTTAAAATTAGAGATGTAAATGCACAATGCCTTACTGCCCTCTCCAGACTGGGGGTGTCCCAATAGCAACTAGAAAAACACAAGAAGAGAGAGGGCACACCAGCATTATCTCAATAACCATTTATTTAACCACTTCCAGTCCGGACACTTTTACCCCCTTCCTGACCAGGGCAATTTTCAGCTTTCAGCGCTATCACATCACACTTTGAATAACAATTGCGCGGTCAGGCAACACTGTACCCATATGAATTTTTTACCATTTTTTTGAGACAGATAAAACTTTTATTTTGGTGGTATTTATTCACCGCTGGGATTTTTATTTTTTTTTTTGCTATGTAAATGAAAATGTCCAAAAATTTAGAAAAAAAAGTGTTTTTTCTTATACAATTTTGCAATAAATAATATTTCATCATAAATCTTGGCCAAAATGTATTCCGTTATCTTTTTAGGGGAAAAAAAAAAAAGCCGAATTAGTTTATAACCAAAAATTGTAATTTTTAAATATTTTGTTTTACATTTTTTTTATATATATATTATTATTATTTATTTATTTTTTTACATACTGTCACCCTAGCAGTACAGTGTCACCATGGTGACACTGTACTACTTTGGGGGGGTATTTAGATTTTTTTTTTATTTTACACTGATTGCTTTTACACCCATATAGGATGTAAAAGCAATAATTTCTCTTTCTCTCTGTCTGCATTCTTGCAGCCATTGAGAACTACTGAGTGAGCTGTGATTGGTCACAGCTTGTCACATGGTACAAGGCTGTTGTGAATAGAATTGTACCATGTGACCTCTGTGATCATTCACAGATTTCACACGTAGTAAGCAATGATGTCAGAAGTGACATCTTGCTTACTACTTTGCATGTGATCACTGATTGGCCAATCAATAATAACATGATCGGGAGCTTGTACAGAGGTCCCGTCCGACGACCGGTGTTTCACTGTGTCCGGAGGACACAGCGGGCACCGGATCGCGGTGCTGCGCGCTCCCAAGGAGCGTGCACAAGCAGGGTGCGGGGAGGCCATTTATAAACGGCCACCCAACCCTGCACTGCCACCGTCCGTGCACTGATTTGCATGACATGTGAACCAAAAGGCTTTTATGTGGAGCCCGTTTAATCGCAGTGCGAGTCCTGTGCGATTTTCAGTCCAGTTCAGGTGCGATTTCCAATCTGCTAGAATCAGTTGTTATGTTATGCACAAAGCATAATTTCATGTGAATGTTAGGTAAGAAAAAAAACTGATTCTGTATTGCCTAACAATAGTGTTGTGTAAATGTGGGACTAGATTCATGTAAACTGTCCCGGAACAGTACTTGGCATGCTGCAGGACTCATGTACATACTGTTGTATTTAAGCTTTACATTTCCTTTACGGTAATTATATGTATTTTATCTGTGAGCCGTAATAACCACAGCATTCAGAGTTCAGGTATCCAATGTCATTTTGTATTGATTGTTTATTGTAAGTGAGATGGATGGATATGGTCAGTCTATGGATGTGCACCGGGGGATCTATTTGGAAGATCGAACAAATAAAAGGGGGAACTGGGAGCATTACTGTATTGACCTAGAAAAATGTGTCAACAGATAATTTGTTCACTGTAATCTACCTAAAATAAAGCTTGAATTGTTTAGTCATATTTCCTGAAAATAATTTACTTTTCCCAGGAGGATAAGCTATTGTTCTAATGGATGATTACAGATTTCAGAGATAGGATTTAGGGCCTAAACGATTTATTGTTGCTAGTCAGCAGAGATAATTTGAAACCTACAGTAATAATTTTATCTTTATCTGCACATATTTCTCGGCATGACGAGTTGGTAAAGGTAGAGGGCTCAAAAGATTTTTGGTTGTTATGTAACATTGTAACTTTTATGAAAGAATTGTTTTTTTTTCCCTTTTACGGCGTTGGAAGGTACAATACAGATGAAACTCGAAAAATTAGAATATCGCGCAAAAGTTCATTTATTTCAGTAATGCAACTTAAAAGGTGAAACTAATATATGAGATAGACTCATTACATGCAAAGCAAGATAGTTCAAGCTGTGATTTGTTATAATTGTGATGATTATGGCTTACAGCTCATGAAAACCCCAAATCCACAATCTCAGAAAATTAGAATATTACATGCAATCAATAAAACAAGGATTGTACATAGAACAATATCGGATCTCTGAAAAGTAAAGGCATGCATATGTACTCAGTACTTGGTTTGGGCCCCTTTTGCAGCAATTACTGCCTCAATGCGGCGTGGCATGGAAGTTATCAGCCTGTAGCACTGCTGAGGTGTTATGGAAGACCAGGGTGCTTCAATAGCGGCCTTCAACTCTTCTGCATTGTTCGGTCTCATGTCTCTCATCTTTCTCTTGGCAATGTTCCATAGATTCTCTATGGGTTCAGGTCAGGAGAGTTTACTGGCCAATCAAGCACAGTAATCTCATGGTCATTGAACCAGGTTTTGGTGCTTTTGGCAGTGTGGGCAGGTGCCAAGTCCTGCTGGAAAATGAAATCAGCATCCCCATAAAGCTTGTCTGCAGAAGGAAGCATGAAGTGCTCCAAAATCTCCTGGTAGATGGTTGTGTTGACCCTGGACTTAATGAAGCACAGTGGACCAACACCAGCAGATGACATGGCTCCCCAAATCAACACAGACTGTGGAAACTTCACACTGGACTTCAAGCATCTTGCAGTGTGTGCCTCTCCATTCTTCCTCCATACTCTGGATCCTTGGTTTCCAAATGCTTTCATCAGAAAAGAGGACTTTGGACCACTGAGCAACAGACCAGGTCTGTTTTTCGTTAGCCCAGGTAAGACGCTTCTGAAGTTGTTTCAGGAGCGGCTTGACAAGAGGAATACGACATTTGAAGCTCAAGTCCAGGATCCGTCTGTGTGTGGTGGCTCTTGATGCACTGACTCCAGCCTCAGTCCACTCCTTGTGAAAGTCCCCAACACTTTTGAATGGCCTTTTCCTGACAACCCTCTCCAGGCTGCGGTCATCCCTGCTGCTTGTGCACCTTTTTTCTTCCAGCAGTCTTTCCCATGATTGTGATTCCTACTGAACCAGACTGAGAGACCATTTAAAGGCTCAGGAACCCATTGCAGGTGTTATGGCTTAATTAGCCGATTAGAGTGGGACACTTTGAGCCTAGAATATTGCACCTTTTCACAATAACTATCTTGAACTATCTTGCTTTGCATATAATGAGTCTATCTCATATATTAGTTTCACCTTTTAAGTTGCATTACTGAAATAAATGAACTTTTGAACGATATTCTAATTTTTCAAGTTTCACCTGTACTTAAGGTGTTGCTAAACCCACAACAGTAAAATCAGTCTCTATATGCAGGAAATCATGCTGGAACCAAAGGGTTTAATCCTCCGCATTGTAAAAACACTGTTTGATTCTGACTTCTCTGATCCTCCCCTCCTTCCAGTGTCTCCCTCATCTTCTGCTAAGACATATCGTGTGGAGACACTGCACATGCTCAGTTTGGTATATATTTGGCGTGGGTTTTTTTTTCAGTACATGTGAGTACATGTGATCAGTACAGGGCCAATCAGTGATGTCCAGACAGAAGTCAGGGGTTCTGCATCCTCCTAGAGCAGAATGAAGACTTCTACAAGCTTTAACCAGTGCTCTGCTGAACACTGATAGAAGCCATAAGACTACTCTAACTGCTGATGAGAAAAGGTATTTATCAGTTTATATTCACTAAAATAATTGCATTTCCATGTTGTGTGTACTGTGGAAGATATAGTGAATGCAGGATCCTGGGTTTAGTAACACTTTAAAGTATAAATAACCCCAGTCAGGAAAATACCACATCTACAAGGCATTACATCAATTAAAGCATCTACCTTCTTAGAAGAAAATAAATCATAATAACCTTTATATTTCCAGCGCTGTGCATGACATAGCATTAGTCCACTGCAGTTCCTATTCATGCAGGTGCATGTTTTAACCGCGTCCTGACTGCCCTATAGCAGAAACACTGCTACAGGGTGGCACGGGTGTGCAAAATCATGTGTATGTATACTTGATTTTGCATTTATGGGTGGGGGGTGCACATGAGGCGTGCATGCGTCCTACCCGCGCTGCCATTTGTGGCTGTGGCTGTCCATCACCGAGTCCCGGCCAGTGATTACTCAACGGCGCCCGGTGATTACTGAGAATCTCCGATGGGGTGGAGAACTGTTTTGTTTACTAACAGTTCTCCTCCCTGTCAGCTCAGGCACACTGCTTTGAATGGCTGTGCACAGCACAGCACAGCCATCCAAAGCAGTGTGCTTACAGTGAAGCACGCAGACACCATAGTAAAACACACCCAGCACACAGTTAACCCTTTGGTCGCCCCTCATGTTAACCCCTTCATGTCCCGTGCAATTAGTACAGTGTCAGTGCTTTTTTTTAGCACTGATCACTGTATTGGTGTCACTGGGGATGTCAGTGACACCAAGTCAGTTCCCCCCAGTGTCAGAATGTCTGCCACAGTCCCGCTATAAGTCACTGATCACCGCCATTCGTAGTAAAAACATTTTTTTTTTAATCACAGTATATATACCGCCATTTGTAAACGCTATAACTTTCACGTAAACCAATTAATTTACATGGATTGAGATTTTTTTTTACCAAAGACATGTAGTAGAATACATTTTGGCCTAAATCTATGATGAAATTTGATTTTTTTAATTTTTTACTGGACATGTTTTATAGTAAAAAGTCAAAAATACAGTTTTTTCCTCAAATTGTAGGTCTTTTTTTTATAGTGCAAAAAAAAAAATGCACAGGCGAATAAATACCACCAAAAGAAAGCTCAATTTGTGGGGAAAAAGGACATACATTTAATTTGGTTGCAGCGTTTGCATGACCGCGCAATTGTCAGTTAAGATAACGCAGCGATCGTCCCGTGTCCCTGGCACCGGCATCTTCAGCATGGGCACCTGGCTGTGACAGCTTGTGGCTTCACACTTTACATGCGCGAGCAGCGCTGTATGTTGTGAATGGTCCTGTCGTCTTCTGGGACCTGTCACGTGTCCCAGAAGATTACGGGGAGGGAGGGGGAGGACAATGTCTGCTTCCATTCGCCTAGGCGGATGTGGCAGTGGGTACCTGTCAAATTCAGGTTCCCCAAAGGTGCCAATCCTTAATGGGGAGAGGAGGGTGAGGCCTTAAAGTGGAACTTCCCCTTTTGGGTGCAGCTCTACTTTAACCTTTTTTTTGAATCACAGACTCCTTTAAGAATCTGATGAAAGCTATGGACCCCCTTTCCAGAAATATTCACACAAACACAACTTTGCATGCATACACAAAGTTTGAATAAAGTAAACAATCTTTTCAAAGCAACACACACCTTTTTATGCAAAAAGTAAAGACCACTCATTACAAAAATGAATTACAATCAGCAAATTAAACAAAACAATTCTAATTCTTCTCAAATCTTCTACTGCAACTACTAGTACTAAAAAATGAGAAAATAGCACTTGCTAATATGGTGTGGACAAGTGGGTGGTTGTGCAGAGAAAGATGATACAAATTGAAATGGCAAACATGGGCCAACAATGAGTAGGGTACGTTTTCTTTAACCACTTGCCCTCCTGAAGATTTACCCCCCTTCTTGACCAGGCCATTTTTTTTGCGTTATGGCATTGCGTTACTTTAACTGACAATTGCGCGGTCATGCCACGCTGCACCCAAATGAAATTTATGCATTTTTTTCCCAAGAATTGAGCTTTCTTTTGGTGGTATTTGATCGCCTGTGCATTTTTTATTTTTTGTGCTATAAAATTTTGAGAAAAAAAAAACAATATTTTGGACTTTTTGCTATAAAACATGTCCAGTAAAAAAAATTTTTAAAATCTAATTTTGTCATAAATGTAGGCCAAAATGTATTCTGCAACATGTCATTGTTAAAAAACATCCCAATACGTGTAAATTAATTGGTTTACATGAAAGTTATAGCGTCTACAAATGGCGGTATAGATACTGGCCTTTTTTGTTTTAATTTTTACTAGTAATGGTGGCAATCAGCGACTGATAGAGGGACTGCAGGACTGCGGCGGGCATTCTGACACTGGGGGGGAACAGACTTGGTGTCACTGGACATCCCCATTGACACCAATACAGTGATCAGTGCTAACTTTAAAAGCACTGGAGCTGTACTAATGGCACTGGGCATGAAGGAGTTAACATCTGGGGTGATCAAAGGGTTAACTGTGTGCTCTGTGCTGTTTTACATGATGTTCTGTGTCTCTGTGCTTCACTGTAAGCACACTGATTTGCATGGTAAACATACATACAGCTGTTAGTGTGCCTCAGAAAAATGCTCTCTTAGCTTGACTCAGCCCTCCAAAAACTGCTGGTCTGTGGGCGTGGTTTAGGACAAGAGCATTATAAGCGGTGATGTCACACAATCCCTCAGTTATACACAACCTGCAGCCTCGGCTCAAGAATGTGCACAGCTATCTGACATCTCTGTGCCTGCGAGCATGTCTGTGAGCATGTCTCCTAAGTGCATTCAGGAGAATATACAGGTGCCAGTGACTTTATTCAGCTCTGATTACAGCACAGCATCTGTGCTAATCAGGAGAAAGCTGGTAGGAAGGGGCTAATGTTAAAAATCCTTGCAATCTTGCAGCTCAAAGAGGCAATGTGGACCAGGACACATTCTCATGTAAAACTCTGTAAACCACAATTCACAAGATGGGTGCTGTGAATAGAGCAGGACAATAATCAGCTGACCTACCTAGATAACCTAGACTACAGCATTACTGAAGTGATGCCGATCTATGTCATAAATCACTGGTGCTGAGTTCTCCATCTTGTGAAGGCAGAGACCAGCAGGGAGAGGACACTCGCTCCCCCACCCCTTTACAGTGTATTACATGGAGGCTCATGCTGGTCTCGTCTTCAGCACAGCCTGTCACTTGCAGGAGAAGGGGAGTGGTGACACCATTTTTCTTCTTGTGTCGGATTTATACTGTTCAGAAGAGCAGGGGGGAAGGGGGATATATGGAGAAGGGGATTACTTCAAGATACCAAACTAACTTCAAATGCTTAGTTAAGGTAAAATCTATTTAACTGTAGGATTAGATTTATTTGTGGGTTGTTGTTTTTTTTTGTGGTTTACAACCACTTTCATTTCTTTAAATGGGAAACCATTGATTGGGACAAGGGGGAGGGCTGTATAGTGAATGCAAATGTTATTTTTTATCTGACCCTCACAGACCCTCTGAAATCTATACATGGACCACTTAGGAGTCCTTAGACCGCAGGTTAAGAACCCCTGTCTTACACAAAGCTAGGAACCTGTGTCAAGGCAAGTCTAGCACAATATTACCGCAGACCTACAGCTCTACATAGGTTCTGAGATAAAGTGGTTTATTCGATACAATTGTCAGGATGACTATAAGAACAAGAACACAAGATGGTGAACAACTAATCGGTTCTTCAGCAACATCTGTAATAACATAACATTTTTTTGGAAGGTGCAACATACATAAAACAAAACGAAAAGTCTTTTGTCTGTTTAAGTCCATGTAAACTCAAAATGTATTTTTCAATATATTTGATATCATGTTTCAATATAAACAGTTTTCTTAGGCTCCATTCACACATATGCAAGTGTGATGGTGCACTTGCGCTTTTGCTCATTTAGGTATGTCACATTAATGCGGAGCTCAACCCAAAAAGGGAAGTTACGCTTTAACTAGTTGCCGACCGCAGATAGCCGAATGACGGCGGCATATGACATCCTCCCAGAACGCGCTCTCTTGCATCATGCAATCTTGCATGACTGCGCAATTGTCAAAGTGCGACAGCGCTGAAAGCTGAAAATTGGCCTGGTAAGGAAGGGGGTATAAGTGCCCAGTAGGCAAGTGGTTAAGGACTGCTCCCCTGCTCCCCATTAAGGATTGGCACGAATTTGACAGGTACCCAGTCCCACTCCCGGTCCGATCGCCTAGGGAAGCGGAAGGTGTCCTCCCTCCCTGTAGTCTTTTGGGACACATGACAGGTCCCAGAAGACTACAGGACCATTCATGAAGTGCAGTGCTACTCGCACATGCACAGTGGGTACCTAGCTATCACAGCCGGATGCCCACGCGGAAGATGCTGGCCTCCTGGAACACAGGACGGCCGGTGAAATGGGCTACAGGAAACACAACGCGGGACCGAGGGACAGGTAAGTGGCTGTTTTTTAAAAGTGAGCAGCTATAGTTTTTGTAGCTGCTTTTATTTTTTGACAGCGTGAGTGGAACTCTTCTTTATGGGCAGCCTATTCCTTACAACAGGCTGTTCTATTCCCAACAATTATGAATAAATGGCACTGGTTTTCATGTACTGTGGGAATGTGTGCAATATTGCATACATTCCTTTCTAAGTGTGAATGGGGCCTTAAAGTGGTTCTAAAGGCAAACCGTTTTTTTTTTTTTTACCTTAATGCATTCCCTGCATTAAGGTATATAAAGTCCCACTACTTTTTGTGCTCCCATTTTCCCCCTAAACACCTACCTGACTCCTATACCGATCCAGTGCAGCACCAGCACTCTCTTTTTTTGGTCTCTCAGGGGACACTGTGAGCAGTGGGAGCCAAAGGTCCCTGCTGCTGTCAGTCATATCTTGCGGGGAGGGAGCAGGGGGCATCACTGGGCCATGCTGTGTGTATTTATGGATGCACACAGCCCGGCTTGGGAATGCGCCCTCATGGGTGCTCCTTTTTTACAGGGCTTGCTGAGGGGGCACCAGCAAGAAGGAGGAGTGGACAGCGCCAGTGGGGAATGGCATAAATGGAGGTAAATGACCACTCTGTGAAATATCATTGCACAGAGCAGGTAAGTATAACATGTTTTTAAGCTTTAATTCACTTTAAAAAAACACTTGTTTGTAAACCTGTTGCAAAATTTCTTAGATGATATCCTGATGAAACCCTGCCATGTGTACTCCTTATTTGGCTGTTGGGCTGGTTATGTGGCTCAGATAGCCCTACAGCTAACAATGCTGCTGCCAATTGTGAGAGAGTGGCTTAGCGGTGTCTGTGGGAAGTGATGTTACTGTCAGGATCCCTTGGTAAGAAACTTTGTAAAAGATTACCATGGTTGTAAAGGCTATTTATTTTAAATAAAAAAAAATAAAGTTATACTTTCCCGCTCTGTGCAATGGTATTGCACATATAGGTCCCTTACTGCCTCTACTGGAGTCTCTCTGCTCACTCACTCCCGAGCGACACTAAGCACAGCTCAGCCTTGCTCCTTTCTCCTTCTTCACAGGATTTGACTGACATCAGCAGGAGCTTATAAAGAGACATCTGAGAGAGCAGCCAGGTAAGTGTTTAGAGGCGGGAGGGGATAGGACAGGTGGGGGGGGCGTTTTTTACCTTAACCTTTACACGCTGAGTATACGCCTCTCAGCGGCTGGGCCTTGACACCAAGTGGTTGCATATTTGCGTACCATTAGTAAACAAACATGTGATGAGAGCGTGCGCCCTGCGCGCTCCCAGCATATGTGCCGGGGTCCCGCGGAAAGTTCCTGATTTCTCCTTGCGATCGAGACCTTTCCGATCATGTGACTGCCATGACAGCCAATCACGGCGGTCACAAGACCCAATACCCCACCCTGCCTCCCGGCATCAGGAACCCCTTAAAGGGCCAGGAGGAGCAGGCGTGAAGGGGTTCATGCAGGGAATGCAAAGGTAAAAAAGTGGTTAGGGTTTAGAAGCACTTTAAAAATGTGCTCTAGAAAATTGTATGAAGTTAAGCATGACCCACGGAAAAAATACATTTTTGGTTTACATACATTTTAAATGAAAAAAAAAAACAAACAACATGCCTCTGAAACTTAAAGTGGATGCTGTGCAGAGGGCACAGAGGCTTTGTCTGTTCTCTCCCTACTCATGGGCGCAGAGACAGCAGAGAAAGCCATTTGCTTCTGCTGCTGTCAATCACAGCCAGAGAGAAGGGAGTGGGGCTTAGCCCTGCAATGTGTGTATATGGACACACAGAGCTAGTTTGGGAGCGAGCCCACACAAGCAACTTGCCACACATAGCTAGTTTGGGAGCTCTATGGACATACAGAGCTAGTTTGGGAGCGAGCCCACACAAGCAACTTGCTACACATAGCTAGTTTGGGAGCTCTATGGACACACAGAGCTAGTTTGGGAGCGAGCCCACACAAGTAACTTGCCACACATAGCTAGTTTGGGAGCTCTATGGACACACATAGCTAGTTTGGGAGCTCTATGGACACACAGAGCTAGTTTGGGAGCGAGCCCACACAAGCAACTTGCCACACATAGCTAGTTTGGGAGCTCTATGGACACACATAGCTAGTTTGGGAGCTCTATGGACACACATAGCTAGTTTGGGAGCTCTATGGACACACAGAGCTAGTTTGGGAGCGAGCCCACACAAGCAACTTGCCACAAATAGCAACCTGCTATGGTGGGAACTCGGCAGGGGGTCCTGAGAAGAGGAGGATCAGGGGTGCTCTATACAAAACCACTGCACAGAGCAGGTAAGTATAACATGTTTGTTATAGTAAAGAAAATAGAAACAGGGGTTTACAATCACTTTAAAGATGAGGATTCCAGGTATGGATATTTTATACTTAGTTACATTGGCCCAGCTTGGACCAATGTAGCTATGTACAGTTTGTACCATACCTGGCAGATGCCTCTAGATGCTGGAAATCACTGAAGTGGACATTGTTACTCCAATGATCTCCAGCTCCTGTGCAGAGCATCTGGCCTGCTGAATTCTGAACAGAGGAGGTCAGCAGGTTAGCACAGGCTCCATTCATAGAATTTTTTGCATTTTCTGAATGAATGCAAGGTGTTTTCTGGACAAGGTGGAGAGTGTGAAATTGGTCCATGCTGTATCAATTTAGCTACGTATGTATAAATATGCATACCTGGAATTCTTCTTTAATGAAACTGTGGTAATCAACAAACATTTGAATGCAATGAACAAATGCAAAATTATTTCTGTAATGTTTTGGTAACCTTTTATACTACCCTCAGTGGAATGTTGAGCCACTGTATAAAGTACAGGAAACAGGGACAGGTTGGCGTGGGCTACATGAGATATGTTTTACCTGCGATGTGACATATGATATTGCCACTTGCCCTTTTATACCACTTCTTACTGTTCACCGTCTGTTCCTTTCATGATGATGTCTAGGTCAGCCTGGCATATGGCTGTCAATTTAATACAACCTGACACTCACTATCTAAAACAGGAGATCATCTGTTAGAAGAACAGGCTCATTTTAATACACATGCTCTGCTTTCATTTATATGTCATTTAAAATGCTCTATAATTCACTATAATTCAGTTAGGATGTAGGAACTTAGCATACAAACATTCTGTGAATTTCTAATCACTAATCAGTAAATCTGTTACTGAGAACATTTAGATGATTTCTAATGAGTACATTTATCGATTTACATAGTTTTGATTACTCATATTCATAGGAAATGTTAAGTTACAGTGCAAAAAAAGACAAGCTGTCACTTCCTTTAATGTCTTATTGGAAACTTGTGGTTTCATCCAAATCAGAAAACCAACATGTGCCAATCTAGCTACAACAATAGAAAAGTTATGCTTGCCTCTTTTATTTGTAGAAAGCCTGATTTGATATCGAAGAACCTGACCAGGGTCACAAGTTTAACCTGTCTACTGATGCAGGTCAGGTTCTGGAACTTCCAACACCCCAAAATTTCCAGTTCCCTACCCAGTGACTTGAGACAAATGATAATATCTACATAAAGAACACCTACAGTTGACAGCGCACAAAGAATGAATACAGAGCATCTTGGGTGGGAGAAGACAAGATTCCCAGTCAGTTCTTAGCTCCCCCACTCTCCCCAGCTTGGACAAGAAAGCGATGACTGTTGCCACAAACAGGGATACTCAGCGGGTCCCACTGTCAGAATACAATGCCCTGAACGGAGAATTCCTCCATCCACCTGGTTTGTGCGGATGGAGGTATCTGTTACATTTTTTTTTGTTCAACCCATTGGTTGAATGAAAGCAACACTAAGTGTACCCTCAGCTAAAGACAGGAAGGTGTAAATTTACTAAAACCGGTGCACACAGAATCTGGTGCAATTGTGCCTACTAATCAATCAGCTTCTAACTTCAGCTTGTTAGGTTAAGCTTTGACAATAAAACCTAGATGCTGATTGGCTACTATGCACAGCTGCACCAAATTGTGGGTGCACCGGTTTTAGTAAATCTCACCTGAAGTGTGTAAGTGGCCAGATCATCAGGTGAAAATAAGGGGAAAAAATTTAAATGAATTCAGCCACCACATCTTGGTATTGGTGGGCTGCACAGTGGCTAAATGGTTTGCACTTCCGCCTGGCAGTACTAGGGTCGTTGGTTTGAATCCCAGCCATGACACAACCTGCCTGGAGTTTGCATGTTCTCCCTGTGACTGTGTGGGTTTCCTCTGGGTACTCTGGTTTCCTCCCACACTCCAAAGACATGCTGGTAGGTTAATTGGCTCCTGTCTAAATTGTCCACAGTATGTGTATGTATGAATGTGAGTTAGGGACCTTAGATTGTACACCCCTTGAGGGTTAGGGACTGATGTGAATGTGCAATATATATGTAAAGCGCTGCGTAAATTGACAGTGCTATATAAGTACCTGAAATAAATAAATTGGGAAGTTGTGTTTAAAACCTGTAATAGAGAGGCATAAGGCACTGCATGTAAAATACATCATAAGGCACTGCGTGCAATTGACAGAAATATCACAACACAAACATTTTACGGTGAATCCTCAATAGAACCAAGTGGCACTTGACCCTCTTTTGATCCCTGCCCCACTTGTTTATTAAAAGGCAATTTTTATTTTTCTCTGTGCTGGCTTTAGCTCCATCTCAGGTTTAAGCCCAATTTATGAGCAGTCTCATGGAAGAACTACAACCAGCACTATATGACAGTGCACATAAAATACCTGTACAGAATCAATTGTATAACTTCCCTGCGGTGTGTCCAGGCAACCAAGGAGGCTGAGGATATACAAAGTGTACTACCACAGTC